GCAGTGCCTGGGACGCCTCTTTTCCTTCTTGCAGAAGCTCCCTGGTGCCAGCCCAGGTGCCACACCACACCTTTTTAAGGCTCTAAAATGCCATATAAATTAAAATAAGCAGGGGGGCGGTGCAGAATCCGCCTGGGTACCGCTCACGCCGCTCTCCACTTGCAGGCGCAGGCGCTGGTCCAGTACCTGGAGGAGCCGCTCACGCAAGTGGCCGCATCCTGAGCTCGGAGGTGCCACCACAGAAAAACTGTCACCAACACAGATCAGGGGGTGGGCAGCCCCACGGGCATCCCAGAGCTCGGGCCTGCTTAAAAAATAAAGCGGGGGGAGCAAAAAACCAAGGGGGGGGAATAAAAGTGTTTGATGTTTGTGTCTTTTTGTGTCTCTCGTGAATAAAAGGAGCTGGGGGGGGAAACACGTGCTGGGCCGGGCTGGGGGTGCTCGTAGCTCTGCCATGGGTCGTCAGACCAGGGACGGACAGCCCAGGAGCTGTAAGGGGCTTGTGTCAAGGGGGAGCTGGGCCCCCCCTGCACCCCTGCACTGGGGTAGAGGGTGCTCCTTCCCTTCCCGTTTCCCCGGCTTTCACACGATGGCAGCAGAGGCGAGGAAACGCGTTCGCAGGCGGTTGGCGCTGGGCTGAGCTGGGGGCTCAGCTGCTGGCCCGGCTGCCCACCCCGCCCTGGCCTGCCCCACGCCTGCGCCGGCCTCAGCAGCCAGGATCGGGCCCCGGCTCCTCCTCCGGCCGCCCCGTGACGGTCCCAGGGGTGACACTACCTGCCCAACCTGCGCCGCGACACCCAGTCCCACCCCTTGAGTCAACCGGCCGCGCTCCGCCGCCAACCCGGCCGGCCTTGCCCGTCGCTCCCCCAGACCCTGCTTGCTCCCCCAAAGCCCGCTCGCTGCCCAGCAGAAAGGAAACTTTGCCCCTTCCATCTCCTCCCTCGGTGCCTCTGGCGGCCCGACCCGCCCTGCACCGTCCGCTCGAGGCTTTGCAGCGGGAAGGAGGAAACCAAGCGGCGGCGGCGCTGGCAAGGGCAGGCGGCAGCTGGGGCGACATGGGCAGCGCCGAGGAGGATTATAACTTTGTCTTCAAGGGTGAGTCCTGGGCTTGGGGTGAGCCCCCCTCCCCAGAACGGCTGGAGCAGGAGGCCAGGGGCTGCAGGGAGGGAATTGGGGTGTCTGCCCCCCGCCAGGGCTGCTGTGTCCCAGCTGAGGATGTTGCTGAGCGTCCCTGGTGTGTGCTGGGAGCTGCGGGGGTCGGGGAGCACCGGCCTTGGCCGTGTCCCCAGCTGATGGCAGAGAGGTCAGGGCTGGCAGATGGGCGTCCAGCGAGACCCGTGTCCACCCCACAGCTGCTCACGTGGGACACCGGGCGAACTGCCAGCGTGGGGCAGGGGGTGCTGAGACGCTGGGGCTGAGCGTGTGAGATGTAAACACTGCGCTAGCCCATTAACCCCTGAGAGGGATGGGCATTTAAAAGTCCTTCTGCTGCGGTGACCTGGCTGGTGGCACATGCAGAGGACGTGGGGGTCAAACCTGGGCTGGAGGAACGGGCACACCGTCTCACGCCCCCCCAGCTTGAGTTCCGTGGGCACGGGGCTCCAGCATCCCACATCTCTGTTGGGTGCTACCGGCCGGACCCCGTTGGGCCTCAGCGAGGAGGTGGGCAGGCTCCGGGGTGCTGCCAGTGCTGGGTGCCCACCGCAATGGGGTGACCCAGGGCTTGCTCTGCTCCTGCAGCCCACAGTCTGGTAGCTGTGACCCCCCTGAACAGCACTTGGGGCCACACCAGCAGACACGGGTGGGCTCAGCTGGAGGGGGCTTGGCCACGCTGGAGGGGCTGTGAGTTGGTGACACAGGAACAGGAGCCCTGTTTGCTGAAGGAGTGACCACGCCGGGTGTTACACCTCTGTGTAACTCTGTGCTCAGATCTGGGGGCGTCAGGCGATGGGGGACACCCCTACACCCCTTGCCAGCAGCTGGGACAGCCCAGCTGCTGGCGCTGCCAAGGCAATGAGCTGCTGGCTGCTCTGACTCGGGTCAGCAAGAGTTATTTGAATTTCTGTGAAGTGTCTTGGAGCAGCTCTCTCCCTTCCTCGACAGCTCCAGGGGGTTTTCTCCCTTCTTTCCACAGTCGTCCTGATCGGGGAATCCGGGGTGGGCAAAACCAACCTGCTGTCCCGCTTCACCCGCAATGAGTTCAACCACGACAGTCGCACCACCATCGGCGTGGAGTTCTCCACCCGCACCATCCTGGTGGGAGACGCCGTGGTGAAGGCTCAGATCTGGGATACGGCCGGGCTGGAGCGGTACCGCGCCATCACCTCTGCGTAAGGCCCAAAAGCAGTGCTCCTCCTGGTACCGGGGTGGTGACACCCTTGGTGAGCCCCATGGGTGAGGATACTGGGGGTGGGGGGGTGTCTGCAGTGTGGGGTGATGGTGTGGTTCTCCCGTAGGTATTACCGGGGGGCTGTGGGTGCCCTGGTTGTCTTTGACATCACCAAGCACCAGACGTACGATGTGGTGGACCGCTGGCTGAAGGAGCTGTACGACCATGCTGAGGCCAGCATCGTCGTCATGCTGGTGGGGAACAAAACCGACCTCGCGCAGGCTCGAGAGGTGCCCATGGAGGAGGCGAAAATGTTTGCAGGTACAGGCTGGCACCCTGCCACGGGGCTGCGGGCTTGGGAACCTCCCTGAGAGCAGGGACCACCCCAACACGGGCACCCAAACGTCTCTAAAGGGGCTCCAGAACGGAGCCGTGCTCTCGCTGGGGTCTGCGTTATCTCGGGGGACTCCTCTCGTTGCAGACAACAACGGGCTGCTCTTTGTTGAGACCTCGGCGCTGGACTCCACCAACGTCGAGCAGGCATTCGAGACCATCCTGAAGGGTAGTTGCACCGATGCTGGGGCACCGCGGGGCCCTGGGGACTGGGACATCACGGGGTCCCTTACCAGGGACACAGGGCTGGGCAGACGCAGCGTGTGAGCTCCACGTGAGCTCTTCGGGGCCGGTTTTGGTGTTGTCTTTCTGGCTGGTTTGGTTTCCGGCCTTTTGTGCCGGGCGTTTCACTCTCCGCACCCCATGACTTTGTTGTCACGGCCCTTGGGCATCCCCAAAGCCCTGGGGGCTCCTTCTCCCCCTATAATCCCTGGTCCCCCTTCCTGTTGTCCCGAGCTCCTGACTCAACGTCTGCAGCACCCTGCTGAACCGGCCGTCGGGACCTGGGGGGACCTTGGGGAGAGAGGTGATGCTCGGCCAGGAGCACCTCTGCAGGAGTGGCAGCCGGCAGCATCGGGGCAGGAATGCAGCGGGGTGTGCGGGGCTGTGCCGTGCCGAGCCATGCCGTGCTGTGCCATGCCGAGCCATGCCATGCCATGCCATGCCGTGCTGTGCTGTGCCATGCCGAGCCAGCCCGGCCCAGCACGTTGCCAGCTCCTACACAGGGCAAAGCACTAATCCCAGGTTGGGCAAGAGGAAATTGCCTAAGCGCAGGGAGTTCCCCAGGCACCGCAGGGATGCAATTTGGGGGAGCTGCTCCCTTGTCACCCCCCAATTCTCCCTCTCTGCTGCGTAAAGGGGAAGGAGAGCCACCGATGTGCTGGGAGGGGGCCGGTGTGTGAGCAACAGGGGCTGCAGGCTCAAAGCTGTCCCTGCTTCCCTGGGGGCCCCTTGGCTGACACACAGACCTGGCCGGCACCTCTTGTTTTGCAGAAATCTTCCACAAAGTGAAGAAGCAGAAGCAGAGGAGCAGCCAAGGCAACACGGTGACGCTGGCCAGCGAGAGCCCCGAGAGCACGGCCCTGGCGCAGCCGGAGAAGCGCCCATGCTGCGTGGCCCTCTGAGCCAGCCCAGCACCCCAGGAAGCCCCCGGGAACCCCCCTGCAGCCCGGGGACTCGCCAGTGGCACGGAGCTGGCTCTGCCTCCACGCAGATTCATCTGGCCACCGGCACAGGCTGGTGTCACCCAGCCTGCGGTGCCACCCCTGTCTTGGTGCAGTGGGGACCAGCAGCCCGGACAGTGGCCAAATTCTGCCATAAACAGTGAGAAGCACCGGTGCTGGGAGCTCTTCTCTGTCTGCCTCGTTTATGCCAGGCCCAGGTTAGCATCACCACCATCACACACAGACCTCCCAGCCCCTCCAGCCCCGCAGTGCAGAGGACTGAGAGCCCCCGATGCTGGGGAAGGAGCCAGGAGGTTCTGGCCAGGATGGTAACAGTGATGGGACCCTCTCCGGTTGCGTCTGGCCCTGGGGTGGCTCCCGTGGGGCCACCCTGTGCCACGTGCTGGGGATGTGACTGTCCCCACAGGCCTCCGTCCCCACAGGGGACTGCTCTGGGGTCGTCCCAAGCCCAAAGGAGCAAAGTGGCAGTGCTTGGCACACCCCTGTCCCCATCCCAGGCGTGGGACAAGCGTGATGGCAGGACCTAGCGAGGGTCCCACTCATCTGCACGGGGCTTGGGTGCAGAGCCCGGTGCTGAGGGGCCCAGCGGCAGCTCCGTGTCCAGCACAACGGTGACGCAATCATTAAAGGACTTGCGAAATGCAGGTTTGCTGAGCTGGAATTCCTGCGTGTTTGTGGTCCCATCCTCTGGTCCCCACCTCCACGACACGCTCCGGAGCTCGTGGCCATCCAAGCAGCCCAGCCAGGTGCCACGGTCCGCCCTTTCCCAGCCACATCCCCACACCCTCCATGGTTTAGAGGGGATGGGTGGCGGTTTATCAGTTTACCCAAACCCTGACTTGGCCTCAGCCAGTTATCTGAAACCCCTCAGAGATGGGAAAATTCCCGCTGGATTCTCCGTATTTTCCTCTAGTTCTGGGCACTCGCGCTTTGCGCCGCGCAAGATGTGTCGGCCCAGCTCCTGTGTCGTGTCTGTGGCTCGGCAGGGCCACGACTGTCCCCACCGGTGGCAGACGGGCACGCGGTGGCGGTGGCCTTTCCCTGCTGCCATGCAGCGCTCTGGATGAGCACCCCCCCCGCCCCGATGCGGAGCACCCCAGGGCTCGGTGGAGCTGAGCAGGGCGCAGAGCCCTCGCCCATGGGAGCAGCCACATACCTGCCCCCCCTTACCTGTCCCAGGTGAGCAGGTCTGGGCGGTGACGGACAGCCCGGCCACCAATGGGTGCGGAGGAGGAAGGGCTGTGGTCACCAATGAGTGTGCAGGGGACAGCCCCTGCCAGGGCTGGATACGGCCCGGAAATCCCAGTTAGCCCAGTGGGAGTGGGGCTGTGGTGCTGGGCGAGATGCGGGGCAAGGACGATGAGTATGACTATCTCTTCAAAGGTGGGTCACCTGCGCGGCTCTGGCCATGCCTGCGATGAGCTGTGCTCAGTCTCAGCCTGCTCTGGGTGGTGCAGCCCCCCCCTGGGATGGAGCTGGGAGCTTTGGCTTGTACTGGGATATAACACCCGGCTCCCAGTGCTGGGGTGGGGCTTGTTGGGGTGCTCCCCTGTGCTGGGCAGAGGGCTGGTGGGTGTTGGTGGTGCTGAGGCTTCAGGGTGGAGGCTGAAACGCTGCTGTGGTTTGGGGGGGGTTGCATGGAGCTGGTCTGTGGCTGTTTGTGGCCCTAGCGCTAATTAAAGCAGCTCGTTACTGGTGCGGGAAGAGTCTGGAGCCCTCACCTGGATGCAGCACCCAGGGGAGGGGTGGCTGTGCCCTGGGCAGGGTGCTGGTTCCTGGGGGCAGGCTGAGGAGATGGAGGGGTGGGGGGAAGGTGGTCTGCGTGTGGCACTGCGGGTGCTGTGCCGGCCCCTGAGCCCCTCTGAGCAGCTTTGGGTGCTCCCCTCAGCAGGGCCAGGGGGAGGAGGAGCAGTTCTGGGGGCTGAGCGAGCAATCCCAAGAGGAAAAGCTGTGCTGTTCGCCCGGCTGCAGTTCAGGGAAAGGATCCAGGGCTCCGGGGTTGTCCTTCCTGGTGCTGGTGACGCTGTGACCTCTCGGTGTGCGAGGGGGGACGGGGCTGGGCCCTTGGACGTGCAACGTTGGTTTTCCTGGCTGTAGAGGTCCAGCACCCTTGTGGAACATCCCCATCCGAGCCACCATCCCCTCCGCACCCCCGATTCCCCCACCCTTAGCAGCGCTCCCCTCGTCCTGGCCACCGTGCTGTGGCTGGAGCGGGTGACAGGGGAAGCGAGGGGACAGCAACGTCCCGACCTCCTGAGCAATAAAAGCTGGGGAGTGAGATCACCCGACGGCCGGCTGTGAGCCAGTCTCCCCAAGCAGCCCTGCCTGAAAGGCCCACAGTAATTCCAGCCACCAGTAGCCCCCGGCTCCTTGCACACCTCCCCTGGCCCCTGCCCAGAAAAATCCTCCTCTCTGGAGTTATTCTGGGACCTGGGGGGCGGGAAACTCTGATGCAGCCGGAGGCTGGGTTGTGCCTCCGAGCGAAGTGCCAGGGCAGGAGCTCCTCTGGCTGGTCTGCGCTTTGCTTGTCGCCCAGCGTTGGGCCAGCAGCACGACTCTGAGGTGGCCCCAGTGTGTTGTCCTCCTGTGGTGCCCATCCCTTCCCTGTGATCCTCCAGGATCTGCGAGCAGCCCAGCACTGGGCTCTGCATTCGCCTCCTCGGTGTGGTCGTGATTTCTGGAGTCCTTAAAAAAAATTAAAAAATTAAAATAAAAGGGAACACAGTTTTGAGCACAAGGTCTGCTCATCCCTCCTGAAGTAGGGGCAAAGCTGATGTTTCGGGGCACAGAGCTGGGCCTGGACTCTCTGGGGTCAGGTGGCTCTGCTGAGACCAGCTTCTCCCGCTGAGAAATGGGAGATGGTCACCGCTCGTGAGCCTGATTTCCACTGAGATGGGAGCATCGGCTGCCTTCTCCTGTTGCACAGCACAATGCAAACTGTAGCTCTGCTCACGGGAAGGCCCTTGATGCTGCTGGAGTGGCTCGGGACAGATGAGAGGTGGCCCTGGGCATGGCTGCTCCTCGGACCCTTCCTCGGGGCTCCGAGCGGAGCTCCAGGCTGTTTCCATCCCCCTCTGGCGTGGGACGTGATGCATCAAGGATGTTTCACCAGCGCTCCCGGGAGGTGCGCTCTCAGCTTTAAGCAGCTCAGGCTGCGTGTTGGGAGCCAGCGAGGCCTGAGGGCGTCAAATGCTGCTGTGCCGGGGGTGGGGGACGCTGCGAGTCCTTCATCCCCTTCAGCTTCAAGGCTGAGCACATCCCCCCTCTGCACTAGGGTGCCCCAAAGCTGCTGGATCCCTGCCCCACCCACCCCGTCCCCGCACCCCCGGCGTGGCA